TCCATTAGAGAGGGCTTCTCTCTCTCTTCTTTACTCTCTCTCATTATGTAACAGGAAGGTCTTTCTCTTTCACACATCACCTTGTGCCTTGCAGGTAATAGGCCAGTCACAAAATAATTGTTTTAAAATGCACAGCATTGTACTTCACCTTTACCTGATCTCTTTTCTCATAACTAGACCCAGCAGGCAACTAAAAAGCTCAGAATGACCACCAACACCTGCCCAGGTGGCAGCTGTCTTGCTGTCTAGGGACAAGGCAGAGAGAAGGGGGAGCAGAGATGCTATTTCATGTCCTGCTGGGTCTTCAGACCAGGCCTTGGCAAACTTTTTCTGTAACGTGTTAAATAATAAATATTTTAGGCTTTGTAGGCCGTATACAATGTTGCACATTGTTTCTTTCTTCTGTTTTCTAACAACCCGTTTAAAAATGTAAACATTATTCTCAGCTCCACGGCTGTACTAAAAAGGGCTGAGGGTGGGGTTTGGCCCACAGCCTGTAGTTTTCCAACTTCTGTGCTATACACTAACACATTATCTAAGTTGTAAGCATCTTAAGTCCAAGCCTGAGTTTTTTACTTGTATTCCCTTATACCAGGCATAGTACTGAGCACAAAGTAGGTATTCTCAGTAAAGGAGAACTCAGTGAAGTTGATTGGAATTGGGGGCAGAGAAGAGAAAAGAGGCCAGGTTTGATGTAATAGGTGTTTCCTAGGAAGACATGGCCTGTGGCCCAGGCTGATGACCCAAGGACTTATAGGTAATGAGAAGAACTTCCCACACCACAGGTCCTCTCCCACAGCCTTGGAAGTCCCAGCTCCTGACATTCTCCCCTTCCAGGAAGCTGCTCCTGTTGCTCCTATTTACAGTGTAGCTGGCTGGGCCCTGGAAAGAAGCCATCTTTCCCCATAGGTGCTCTTGTGCTGTGCTCTCTCGCCTTGATAGTTAGGAAGACTTTCTTGCCATCTAGCACTCTGAAAATGCTGTCAAAAGGTAACTACTGCCTCCAGAGGGAAGAAGAATTTGGCCAATATGGAATTACCTACTCAACTGCTACCAGCACTGCTCAGATGACAGCCAGGAACCCTCCTGAAAACAGCTTGTGGATGGGAGCAAGTTTCTGAACCTGCCACAGTTCCCATTCTTGAGATACTGGTAGTAGATGAAGGAAGCAGGAAGGTATAAGTGGATAGGGAAGCTCCATGGAGATCATCATGGCCACAGTCCCCACGCCTGGAATCACTGGAATGTCAGGATATCGCAGCGCCTCCTGAGAGTCCTGAAATATGCAAGATGGCTTTCCCTGAGACTTTCTTGCTTGCCCACACTCGCGCAGTCTGAGGTCAGAGCCACCTGCCTCCAGACAGGGGTGCCTTTTTCCTCTGGCATCCAAAAAGCTCAGAATGACCACCTACACCTGCCCAGGTGGCAGCTATCTTGTTGTCCAGGGAGAAGGCAGGGGGAAGGGGGAGCAGAGATGCTATTTCATGTCCTGCTAGGTCTCCAGCCTCCACGAGGGAGTGGAGCCACCCACAGCCAGAAGACTGGCTCCATCTCCAGGCATTTCCGTCCTCCTCTTTCACATCTTGAGATCCCAGAATAATTCACTGCAGTGTTCTTTGTCAAGTCTCTGCCACCCCATATTCACCTCCCCATCTTTATGGAAGAAAAAAAGGAACAAATGGTCCCTTGGGCGTTGTAATCAAGCAAGCAGATGCTTCCAAAGGGAGGTAAGTGTCAGATGCGTAACTACATGACTGAGGAAAACACATTATCTAACCAAGCTGCACTCTGATGCAGCAAGTCCTACATTTTAGATAAGAAAGAAGCAAAAGGGTGGAAATACTTTATTTAAAGACAGACTGTGAGTTAGTGGTAGAGCAGGAAACTGCATCAAACTCCCTCGATTCATATGAGGTCTTATCCGCCAGAGGAGCCAAGAGTGTGGGCAGTGACCTTAGGGGACAAGGAACAAACGATCTGGGGAGGAAAGGAATGGCAGCCTGAGGAAATACTTTGGAAAAAGCAAATTAAAATCCCAAGGTCACTGTAGATGTTCTGATGGGGGCTTGGGGATTCTGTGTTTCTGAAGAAGGTAATTCCAAACCAAGTAAAAATATGACTTTGGGACTTAATTCTGCATGTCTAACTTGGGAAAACTAAGACAGTGAAATGGAGAAGAAACTGTAAGAAATATTGGATACACAATATCACAGAGACAATATTCTGTAGGAAACTCAAAAGCAAAAGCAATTCTATAAATGTTAAATGTACTGACAAGAGAGCTGACAGGGGCTGAGAGGTGAATGCTGTTTTATTCCTGAACTTTAATGAAAGTTACAATTTCCTCTTGCTAGCTGCTATGGCTTGGAAATAGTTTGCCCCCAAAGGCTCATGTGCTGGAGGCTTGGTCCCAGTGTGGAGATATCAGAGGTGTTGGAACCATTTAGAGGTGGGGCTTAGTAGAAAGTGATTAGGTCATTGGGGGTGCTGCTTTGGGAAGAGATTAATGTAGTTCTCATGGTAATGGATTGTTAGTAAGTGAGGCCACCCACTGCACTTGGATCCTTCTGCATGTAGCTGATTCCCTTTCTATTCCTCTGCCATGTTGTGACCCAGACAAATGGACCCAAACATATCAGGCCCCTGATCTTGAATAATAGTTTCTAAAACTATGAGTTCAACAAATCTCTTTTCTTTATAAAGTAGCCTGCTAAGTATTTCGTTATAGCAACAGAAAACAGACTAATATATCACCATCAGAGTTGTAATTTTTGAGTTGTATGTTGCCAAAACAGGTTAGAATTGAACAATGTCAAGAATGTATATTTTTCCTTATATCTGATACGATCTGTGGCACTTTGGGAAAGGAATGGTTGAAGCATTCTTCTAAGTTACCATGTGTAAATGTCCAGACATGATGGGGTTTTCCAAAGCCACTTGGGAGCATTTGACTGTTGCCACCACCATTTGAAACAGGGTACAGGTTCCTTTGGCTGAGCTGGGCTAGGACAATCAGACAATTATCTCAAGTCATCAGAAATATACCAAGGATGCAGTCAGGGTGTGGGGTGGGATTAGAAATAGAATCACTAATTCCAAGGGGGTGACATGAAGTGGATGTGGCAAATAGCAAGTTAGATCTCACAAAGGAATTAAGGCTCAGAACACAAACCAAGACAACAACATATGAAGTGAGAGTTAAAAGTGGTGGTCAGAAGCATCGTGTTTGGCTAAGATCAGTAATGCCAGAGAAGCTGGTGAGCAGCTCAGTGTGAAGATCCTCCTCCACTTGGACCCATATTGTAGGTTAAGCTCCATATGCCAGTGTTTCCATGAGACCTGGCAGCCAGGTTCTGCGTGTCCACATGAGGAGACCTAGCCAATGTAGACTTGTCCTGGTGAAAATCTTTTCCCCAACCCTCTGTTTAATACACATATAAGTAATTCTAAATAACACGCATGTATTTTCAGACGCATTTGAAAAGATGGCCCCAACATTTGATGAACTAGAGTTGGAACTCAACACAAAGCACTGCATGACAGGAGCAGTTTGGTGATTGTCAGGCAACATGGAAAGGCAGGGAGGCCAGCTGCCCGGGGACAGCCAGCTCTCAGCTAGCTCCAGGTGGAGAATGCCACATAAGGTTTCACTTGGAGGTCCTCTTCCCTCTGACACTAGACATTTAGGAGCTTCTTACTATCTGGTGGTGTGGAATCAGGTTTAAAAAAAAAAAAAGGGAAGGATTTAGAAACTATTTTAATCTAGTAAATTACAACCAGGAAGGTAGGTCTTCAGGGGAGGAAAAATCTCCGAAGTCAGTATCCTGGCACTATCTGATGTCTGGGCTATGTGGGGCTAAAAAGTGTTCCTTCCTAATGGTGCACTGGGGACAGGGGAAGTGCTACCTACCGAGTGAAGCCGACTCAAACCCACTGCTTTTTTCTCATTTGGGTTGAGAAAGCTGGAACACTTTGGCCTTGAAGACTAGGCATTTTGCATATCAAATTACTACAGAATGAAGGTGTCCTTGACTTGCAACTTGAACCTGACATATTTATAAGAAAAATAAACTAAACAAAAAAAGAAACAAAGGGAACAAGATTAAAAGATATTATCTGCTTAGAGAAAGCTGCACAATGCTTATTGGCTGATTGATTAATACAACATAACAACCACTTAAATCTGCCTCCTCTGTGGAAAAACACTGAGAAGTTATGCTGGGATTGTATTAAAATGCTGCCCAGCTTTAAGTTATGTTTTACTCATTATCACAGTTATAGACTTTTCACTTAGTAAGGATGGTAACCAAATAATCAAAGCAAGTAGGTTCTGAGTAATTCTGAAAGTTTTGAGACCTGCCACTAGAAAGATATTCTGAAATAGAAATCTGTCTAGTGCCAAGTACAATGGTGCATGCCTGTAACCCCAGCAACTTGGGAGGCTGAGGCAAGAGAATTGCCTTGGCAGATTAGGAAAACCCTCAGCAACTTATGAGACCCTGTCTCAAAATAAAAAAAGGGCAGTAGATGTAGCTCAGTGGTGAAGCACCATGGGGTTCTATCTTCAGTGCCATAAAAAAAATAATATATAATAAAATAAAATGAAAAATAAGAAAGAAAGAAAAGGAAGAAGAAGAAGAATAGAAAAGAAAGGAAATCTGTTTAGGGTAGGGCTTCTCCTACCTGGCAATATCCTCATTTTAGATTCAATAATTTTTGTTGAGTGGGACCATTCTATGCATTACAGGATGTTTAGCTGTATCAGAGACCTCTAGCCACTGAATACCAGTAATGATACTCCTCCCTAAGTCATGACTATCAAAAATGCTTCCAAAGATGTCCCCTGAAGGGTAAAATCACCCTAGTGATCATACCATTATGTACATATGCTAAAGTAAAAGGGACCAAGTCAGACACTGAAGGATCTCATACTGATTATTACATGTTATTTGGACATTTAAAAAAGTATGCGGAAATGCTGAGAGCAAAAGTATACTCACTGTGCACAAGAAAACAGAAATCTCTCCACATCAGCAGCAGAGTGAGTTTTGTAAAGCCTTCTGCATCGTACTCCACGACTCCTCTAAGTAACACAAACACACACAAAAACCCTCATAAAAATAAAGTATAGAAGAGATGGAGCCAAGTGAAGAATATCTTGGTGAGGTCAGGTTCTCTTAATCTTTTGTGGATTCCAGAGAATAGGATCATGGGAAAGGCATTGCCTTTAGGTTTAAGTCACAGCTTTTCTATTTACTGTTTGCTATAACATAAGCAAATTGCTTAACCTTTAGAATCTCAGTTTCCTCATCTGTAGAATGAGTATACTTATATTTGTAAACTTCATTACAGGGTTGTGAAAAACAAAACAAACCATAAAATGCAAATATTAGCTACTAAAGGGAAAAGTTGAGAAATCAGGTCAGCAATGACCTCATAATACCAAAATGTCACCATGCTATCTGTACAATGATCTTTAAAGTCTTACTTTCACTTGGGACTACACAGCAATGAACGATGACAATATTATTACGTTTGAGATCAGATATTACTTTTCTTCCAAAGTATGTGGAATCCTTTCTCTTGCCCTGCCCTCCCTTCCCAATGGACTCAAGATAGTAGCAATGTCAGATGGGAGAGTGGTGAGTGCAGGGGCCAGCAAAGTGCTGGTCTGCTGGCCCCATTTGCTTCTTTCAAGAGCAGACTGTGCCAGGGGGTATCACTACTATAATGTGACAATATCAGCCACAATCTTTGAAAGGGAGTGATTCATCCTCCCAAGAAGATCTTTGTTGTCCTTAGAAATGCCCTTTCCCTGGCCAAATCAGTCCAATCAGACCATCAATATTGATGATCTCCCATAGGAAGAGATAGTTGTGTTGCTTGGAAAGGTAAAGGAACAAGGATCCTGAGGGCTAAGGGATTTGCTCAAAAGATGGCTGGTATATCACTCAGATGTGCCTGAAGTCAACTATTCTGTTGACCAGTTTTATTTTTCTTTATAAATTTATTTATAATTAACCCAATATTATAAAACTTATAACTAAACTTTTTAGATCCTGTACCCAAAGGCAAAAATAAGCACACATTTTTTTATTATGCTCACAATACAGTAACACAGTAGTACTTATTTATAATTTAGCACTAATTGTATATAAGTATGACTATATTATTATAATATGTGCATAAAACATACACAAACATGTAAATTAAAAAAGAATGATATTTTGGGGCTGGGGATGTGGCTCAAGCGGTAGCGCGCTCGCCTGGCATGCGTGTGGCCCGGGTTCGATCCTCAGCACCACATACAAGCAAAGATGTTGTGTCCGCCGAGAACTAAAAAATAAATATTAAAAAAAAAGAATGATATTTTAAAACAAATACATATCATAATTTTCTTGTACCCCAGGAAAGTTGTGTCCTTTGGAGGGCACTGTGCTAGCTTCTACCATTTTCAATTATATATACTAAAGATAATCTTACTCAAAAATTAGAAGATCAAAGGTATCATTTCGTAGTCACTATATCAAAAATACTTCCTCAAAATGTTGATAAATAAAACAGAAAAAAATCTCAATTATTAGAGAGTCATGTAAAAGACAGTCATTTTGCTTGGATACTGACATTTCTGTTTTGGAGTAAGGAAAATTCCATAATGGATAATAAGAAAATTGCTTAACATTGTTTTGGGGAGTCAGACATTTTGCTTTAACTGTGCCAGTTTGAAAATGATACCCCAGGGAGCTGCCAGCCTTATTCTTGGTTTCCTTCTCTCTTACCTATTCCCAAGTTCCTAATTTCTTCTATTATTTAAAATTTAAATTTTGTTACTATATGTGTGTGTGTGTGCGCGCATACGTGTGTGCATGTGTGTGTGTGCATATGTGTGTGCATGTGTGTGTATAAAATTTATCCAACTTCTCTGGAATAAGGCTGGGTATAATGAGACCATTAAAATCCTTAGTGCTCAGTTCCACCCAATGGGCAGAAAGCTCTATCTCTTCAGACCCGAGGGAAAGGCACTGCCTCTTCCATGGAGCTGAACCTCAGCAGAAGCTTGATAAGGCGCCAACAGCATAAAAGTAAATAGGGCCACAGAGTATCATGGCCTCTGGCAGAGGAGGAAAGGGCAGACACATGGGACAGCGGCAGCAGGAGGTACCACTGTCCCTACAGTCACATACTTTTCCCTTTTCCCACATGGTACCTTCTTCCAACTCACTTTTCTTTTTTGGTTCCAGGAATTGAACTCAGGGGCACTCAACCACTGAACCATATCCCCAGCCCTATTTTGTATTTTATTTAGAGAAAGGGTCTCACTGAGTTGCTAAGCCATTGCTGAGTCTGGCTTTGAACTCATGATCCTCCTGTTTCAGCCTCCTGAGCTTCTGGGATCACAACAGTGCACCACTGTGCCTGGCCTTCCAACTCACTTTTGTGTCTAGTGTTAGATATTTATTTATTTATTTATTTATTTTAGTTGTAGGTGGATACAATTTTTTCTTTTTTTAATGTGGTGCTGAGGATTGAATCCAGTGCCTCACGCATGCTAGGGGAGCACTCTACCACTGAGCCATAACCCCAGCCCATAGTGTTAGATTTTCTTTGCAAATCTGTGTGGCACCATTGGCAGTATTGTCCTTTCAGTTTCTGCCCGGCTTCCCCTCTTCTAGGTGTGTGACTTCTATCAGGTTACTGAACTTCCAACAGATTCACAGATGTGTCAAAAATGCCTGCCTGGTTCACTTCATGGGTACTGTGAGAAGACAGAGGTGAAAGCGCAGTATGAACTACAAAAAGCTGTACAAGAAGCAGTATTACTACCATCACTGCTGAAGGTACTATTACCATTATTACTGCAGGCATTATTACCATTATTATTATAAGCACTATTAACATTAGTACTGCAGGTTTTGCTACCATTATTAATTCAGGCATTAACACCATTATTACTATAGGGTTTACTTCCATTATTACTGCAGGCATCACTACCATTATTGCTACACACAGTACTACCATTATTACTGCAGGTTTTGCTCCCATTATTACTGTAGGCAGTACTACCATTATTGCTTATTGCTGGGGTAGGGGGCAGACATGCTGCTGCGAGGGTGGGGGAGATATCTGATTCTATTATTTGCTAAAGAATGCTTTAAAAAATGTCACCCCAGGAACTTTAGTGTAAACAACATGCCAAAAAGAATCAAAATGGCATTGCAAAGATCTCATATGTAATAATTAAATGCTATTTTCTTAAGTCTCCATAGTAGACTCATGAGCAAGTGAGGGCATGGTTGGTACATGGGTTTAAACAGAGCAGAACTTACGTGCCGAAGTGACTGAGGAAAGCAGCAATGTACTCTCTTCTTTTGTGATATCCTTGAATCACATACTGCACCTGGAATAGGATCCCAAAGCTGAGAATTAGCACAGAAAAAATTTTAATGCTTTATTATGAAAAATTTCAAAGATTCCTATCCATACTCGACAACTATGAATATTTTGCCTAGTTGCTTTATCCAAGGATCTACCTACCTATCAACCTATCAATCAATCTTGCTGAAACATTTCAAAGGAAATTAGAGACATCATGACAGTTCACCCCTAAATACTTCAGTATGTAACCCCCAAACTAAGATATTCTCCTACATAATCATAATACCATTATCATATCTAACAAATTTAGCAGTCATTTCCTGATATCATCTAGTTCCCTGTCCATTTTCAGAATTTCCCAACTATTCCCAAAACATTTTTTAAAAAGCAGTGTACAACCCAAGGATGAGATATTTAATGTTTTAATGTCTTCAAGTCTTTTAATCAAGAATAATAGCATCTCCTCAAGTATGTGTACATGTCTGTGTGTGTCCATGTGTGCACACACAAGACACTGACTTTTCAAAGAAACTGGATTAGCTGCCTAGAAAATGTCTCAATTCTCTTAACTGCTTCCTTTCTTTTTCCTTTACCTTATGTATTTCCTATAAATTGAAATTTAAAGCTAGGAGTGTGATTAGACTCAGGTTAAACATTTTTGGAAAGAAAGTTTCATAGGTAAAATGGGGCATCAATGGATCACTTGATTAAGATGACAGCCAGATCACGCCACTGTAGAGGGCTTTTGCCCTGTCACAGTGAGTATCAACCATAATATATCCCCCACCCCAGGTGACCACCTAATACATCATCATCATCAAACATTCACTGAATGGTTTTGGTATCTGTTGGGAGATTTTTATTTGAATCAATTTTTTTCATAATGACCTGCAAAATGGTGATTTTTGAACTTTATCATTCCCTTTGCATTTATAAGCTGATGTTCTCAGCAAAGAAGCCCTTTTTCTCACTAATTTGGGGTGGGTTTTTTTTTTCTCTCTTTTTTTTTTTTGGTTATCTTGAACTCCTATTGAAAAGGCAATATAATGCTTTATTCTTTCTTTTTAAAATCCTTTAGATTTTAAATTGAAATAAGTGTTCAGAATAAGACATATTACAATAGGAGATTTTATTTTGCCTTTTTATATTTCCTTGTTATCATCAAATGACAGTTTCTATTTAAAAAATGTGAACTCATTAAGCTAGGTAGTTGAAAGTCATTTATGCACCAGCCTCCAACATGAAAATATGTTTTTTGTAATGTCTTCATAATGGTAGAAAGAAACACTGGGAAAGTGAGACCCCCAAAATTGTTTATACTGGCTATAGCCAAACAGCATTTCCTTGGCTAATGAAAGCTCAAGATAAAGTGCTTGGAATAACCTTGACACAATTGGTACTGATAGCCATGCTGCACCCTTTAAAAGTAAAACAATTCTATTTATACAATAGGGGTTTTATGTCAATTTATAAAAACAGTGCTTACTTTGCAGGCTTAATGCAGGATCAGAAATGTTATTTTCGGAAAAGAAAAACAGATGATAAGTTTGCTTAAGTGGTTTTGTTTAAAAAGGGGATGAAAACAGTTCTGTGTACTTGGTTTTAAAAACAGAAAACCATTTTAACAGAAACCCACAACAAAACTGGCTACAAAGATAGATTCCAATGTAATTATGGAAATTCATTTGAAGAGATTGTTCCTAAAAGCAGCCCATACTGTCCTCGTTTGGAGCAAACAGAAGAACACCAATTTCAAAAGACAAGTAAAATTAATGAAAGGGAAACAGATAAGAAAAACTGACTGATTCTTATATTTCTGGGAAAATGATAAAAAATTTTTTGAGGAAAATATATGACTAGAAATTAATCTCAATTGGAGAGCTTTAAAAAGGCTTTTCTTCTCAGTTCTGGAAGACCCAATTTGCATTTTTCTCTATAATTCTGGGACACAGATTGGAAAGCAGTGCAAAGCCCAGAATGTAAATAAGAATCCTGCCCTCCCCTCAGTCCTGCAGGAGGGCAGCAGCTAGGGGAATTTGGTCTCATGAGAAGCCACCCCTCCAAGACAGTTGAATGCCCTGGAATCTGGGCCAGGCCCACAGACTGCAGAGTTGCCAGATTTTAGTTTCTCTGATATTTGAAAAATAATATGGAAGCCTCTGAAATATTATTGTTCTTTTAAAGTCTTTTCTATATAGAGAAGAACAATGTTTTGAACCAGGAGAGACAAACAAACAAAAGATCTCTTTCCAAGCTAATATACACAAGTCAACAGGAGTAAAGAAAAGAGCACTTTGCAGAGGCTCCGGAGGGTGAGGTAGGAGGATCACAAGTTCAAAACCAGCCTCAGCATCTTATCGAGGCTCTCATCAACTTAGCAAGACCCTGCCTCAAAATAAAAAATAAAAGGGCGGGGGAGTGGCTCAGTGGTTAAGCACCTCTGGGTTTAATCGTTTAATCCCTAGTACAAAAAAGAGAGAGAGGGAGAGAGGGAGGGGGGGAGAGAGAGAGAGAAGTACTTTGGCAATTAAATAAACTGAGTCACAATCCATGTGGGAGGGTAAAGAGAGAGTTGATTATGCATTAACACCTCTAGTTTTCAGCTAAATATGTTGATTGGACATTAACAAATATATATATTTTTTTTTTTTTTAATATTTTATTTTTTTTTAGTTTTCGGCGGACACAACATCTTTGTTTGTATGTGGTGCTGAGGATCGAACCCGGGCCGCACGCATGCCAGGCGAGCGCGCTACCGCTTGAGCCACATCCCCAGCCCAACAAATATATTCTTATATTTTTTGGAAATAGTTGACGACCACCATTATGGTAAAATCATTTACTTGGCAATGTTATAGCTCATTAATGCACCTAAGATAAAGCTTCAGTGACATGCCTGTGTAGAAGACCAGCTGAACTGGAATCTTGCCCTGAGGAGGAAGAGTCTAGCAAACTGCTTCCAGACCTGACAGGAAGCACCAAGGACTGACTATTAAAAAGTGAGTTACCAAAAAAATCAGAAAGAAATGAAGGCAGTTTTAAAGAACTATTCTGATAGTAATTTTTGGCAAACATGCATAGATGTATGCATGCACCAGATAACTGGGAAATGAAGGGGTTCAAAAATTCAAAACCACAAGAAGATACAAGATATAGCAAAAACTTAGGGAATAAAGGAAATTCATGAAAAAGGTGACTTAAATTTCCAAGTCTGAGTTAAGGGATAAAGATAAGACTGGAATATGAGGTCAGCAGTCTTAGAAGTCAAAGAAATAGGACAAGAAACAGATGAACTGTAATTCAAAGTAGGAATGAAAGTGTCACATGGAAGACGAAACCAGGAAGGCAGTCTGAGGTGGGTGATACACGATGGTGCTGGGTCCGTGCTGGAGGAGTCACAGTTGGAGGAGTCACAGCTGGAGGAGACAGGGTACTTGCTTTTTTACCTTGTTGGTGAGCAGGTGGCATACTTGAGGAACATAATCGATAAGACATCCTCCTCCGGGAAAAGCTGGGATATGGAGAGCTGAGGAGCCTCCAAGTGCACTGAAAAGAAAAGAGTACAAGACATTGTTCTTAGGGCTCGAGCAACACAGGCAGGGACACTGCCAAGCAGACGTGGGTTCTTCAATCAAAGCCCAGCTGGCAATTGCTTTGAATCAATAATGATGGGAAAAGAGCTTTACTTTACTATTAAATTTCTATATTACATTATGTGGCACATCATTAAAAACAACTGAGGGTCTTCTCACCCAACAGTACAAATTAGCAAATTTTGATTGGCCCAGGTAAACTGGCTTACCAATAGGTTATTGAAACATACTTTTAGACTCTTCTTTATGCCCAATTCATTGAAAATTATTCATGGAACAGCTGTACTATACTAAAATGAAGATATAACATAATATTATAAAAGTATATTAAAGTTCTCCAGCTTATAAGCTGTGTTATCTTGTTTTTAAAGGCATATAAGGAGAATGTATGGTCTAAACAAGGTATAGTCAACAATCATTGATCCAAATGCTAAAACACGATGATTCAGAAATAGTTTCCAGAATTTTCATGGAACTGAAATTTTTTCAGTTTAAATTACCCAGCATATAATTATTAGAAGAAACTGTTCAGAACTTTATAGCTTGCATTTCTTTTACCACCTTTAATTTTTCCTTTTGCCCTCATTTGTTTTTCTTAATTTTATTTTAATATACATATTTCTATAAGTCCCTTAAAACCTCTCTGTAATATGGTGGGATGTTAAAAAAAAACACTTTAAAATCCTTTAATTCTGTGATTACTCATTATCCAAGTCCCCACACTTACAAGGTTATAAATGGAAAACAAGCATGCCACAAGAACTGCCTAAAAAAATCATTCCTAAAGAGGTCAGGGCGGATTCGCTGAGTCTAGGGTTTGTGACACAGGGAACATGTCTAATTACTAAAAGGACTCCAGACCCATCCTACATTGAGTGGATTTCTGAAATTAATTTTTCTGGCAAAGATAAATTTTATGCTTTGTTTATGGGAATGAAAAATTCCAACAAGCAAAAGTCCAGGTACTGTGAGGAGTCGAAGTATTCGAGTGTAAATATTCGATACTGACTTTTTCTACTCAGATGATAACTAAAAGTGCAGCTCTTCTGACAACGGAGAGCACCATAAGACAGCATTTGCCTCAGTATGACATTAACGAATCATCTGCGCACTGCAACTGCACACAATCAGCAGCACTATCACTGCCTTTTGCTACTGTTGGAGTCGATGCTGCATGAGATGTAACCTAAACTCTGGGAAAATTCCCATGACTTCCTGTGAACCAGAGCCATGTTTTTTGTCCTCTCTTTGCATGCAGGAAAGATGCAAGAAGGCACACATTTCAGTAGAAGGTTCTAATGATTCCGTTAGGATGGAAAACTGACCAAGAAGAAGATTCTACAGGACAAAAATAAATTAATCAATCCATTATTTATACCTTGTGGCTATTCATTAAACATCCATATAACATAGACAATGCCAAGCTCCAGGCTGCTCATATCTTATTTACAGAACCAATCTTTCACATTACACTGTTCCAAAAAAGAAATAATTTGGGTGGTTCCTTGGAATTGACTGTAATGGGCTTTGACTTATATAACATATTATAGGGCAAGTCTTTAATCATTCATTGAATTGCACACCAGGAAGGAAACTAGTCTGTGGGTAATCCTCTGAACTTGAATCTCTCTGTTTCTCTCTCTGCTTGATTTGTGTCATTCTGAAAGACAGCCATGAGGCAAAAATTACCTAGAATGAAGGAAAGATGTAGAAGTACGAAGAAATCCCACCGCTTTGCTGCCAGGCCCCTGTTTCTGCTCCCTGCTCCAGTGATGACTAAGACCTTACCCTGGTACTCATTGCTCGATCTTATTATCTAACTTAATCCCCCGGCTACTCAATGAAGTGGGAATTACCATTATAATTTCACAGGTGAAGAAAAGGCCTGGAGAGCACAGGAATTGTCTCAGCTTCACACACCCAGTGAGTAGTAGCACCAAGATGGGATCCCAACCTGCTGCCTGCTGCCAGGGTCCATGCTGTTTCTGATGAAATAGGTTGCCTCCTTGAGGGAGGGGGATTTTTATTTATTTAATTTTTGGGGGGGTGCTGGGAATGGTGTCCAGGGCTGTGTGCGAGTGCTGAGCTGGTTTAGGACAAAGGGCCCCTAGGGGCACTCAGACCAAGGCTAAGGCAGACCCTGAGGCACAGTTCATCTTTTCTGCAGTCATCTGCTCAGCAGCCAGGGGAGCTCTCCTCCTCCAGTTGTTCACGCACCAGTATCCCCACCCCCACTGCCGCCCCACCCTCAACTATCAGATTCACTTGATCTTGGATGTGATGGGCCAACCACTCCAGCATGTCTACTTTGAGTGACTTAGCCAGTTATGCAGGGCAGGCCTCCTTGTGTGAAGCACTTCAGGACCCATGACAGACTATTTTAGGTGAGTTTATTTTTTAAAGGATGCTTATTTCACCCTTTGTTTAACTCAGTAGTTTCTTAGCTTGTAAGGGTACAAAACCTAGCATTCAGGGTCACACACTGATATGTGCTGCTGATTCATGTATAAATATCCGCCTCATGGGTAAATATTTAACAGGCTTGCTATAGCTCCAATGCTGCTGCAACCATACTGAATAAACAAAGTCAAGTGCCATGAAATAAAAGATCTATTATATTTTTAAAGGGTGGAAGGTGGAGGTAAGGTCTTGTGATCTCTAATTAGTTAATACTGATGAAGGGGGGAAAAAAAACCAGGCTGAGCATGTACAACAGAAAACTCACCTGTGCAGAGATTCCAGGGCTCACTGAGATGCCCCCAGGAATGCAGCTGGCAGGAGACCCAGGGCCTGACTAACTCTCTCCTGGCTGAGCCAGGGCTAGGGCGGGGTGAGGAGCAGATGAAAGGGATCACTTGGTGCTACTGCTTCTGATCTCTAGAGAGGGGCAGGGAGCAGGAAGGGACAAAAAGGTGAGGAAAAGTAATCGGGGTGTCAAGGGTTTTAGGTTGAACTTGGGAGGAGAAAAGGGTGAAGAGGGCTGTTTTGATAGAAAGCGCCTTCTATGATTTCATGGACTAATGTGAACCATGAAATGAGTTAATAATTCTTAGAAATGAAAGTAATCTGTGGATATGAATAAGGATAAGGATAAAGTCAGTTTGAAAAGCTTTTCCACCAATGGAGTTAATTAATTAGACCAAAGGGTAACCAGAAAAGCACTTCCAGCTCTGCCTTATGGGCTCTAAAGGATAAACATTAAGAACTATCTCCGTGGAAGGTATTAATATATTCTTTTCCATGCAGATGAAGTTAACAGAGACCTTTATGAACTTGGTTCTGTCTGCAAATATCGAAGTCTTGACTTGGCGGCAGCATGACAGTGCGAAGGAATCATTTTTGAGTACTGCAACATGGAAAAATGAGGGGAGACAGGCTGTCTGAAAGTCTGACTTGGGTCAATGGGTTTGATTTTGACCATCGCGGAAGAGCAACTCCCCAAATAAAATAAGCAAAACATAATTGTGACTGGAGAAGACCAGAGGGCTAGAGATTCTCCATCATCATTCCTACTTCTGCCAAGTTTTGTCTCATTAGTTCTACTCAACTTTCTCACCAGTGCAGCTGAGGATAATACTACTTGCAAAAAAGAAAATACCAATCCCTTAAAGCATTGAAAGAGGGTCAGAATAATGATGAGAATTACACTGATACAGAGATGACACCAAGCACTTGAAAAGAAACTTTATTCTAGAATGCCTCTGGTTTGAGTCTAAGGGTCATGACAAGGTACTTTCAGAGACACCTGGGTCAGCCTTAGTGCCCTGCTCTTTCCCTTGACTTACGTTTTAAGGGTCAGAAAGTTGGCCTGGCTCCTCTACCACAGCATGATTCAGGGGAGTGTAAGAGGCTGAGGCATGGAAATGGGGAACTTCAAGGTGGTAAATATACCCAAGCTGCCTCTAGCCCCCAAGCTAAGGGAAAGGCCAGAGGAAGGTGCAAGGCCTTCACTCCAATCAACAAACATCCACTGTGTGCCCAGCTCTGTTTAAGGACTCAAGTTTCCCATTCTGACTATGTGACTAGGACTCCACTGTCAAGTCCCTTCAAGGTAGACAAATGCCAGGGACCTCAAGGATCTGGGGCACTGTATGATATAAGAGTATGTTTCCTGGGGGCCTGCCGGGAGAGCCACCGCAATAAAACAAGTCCCTATTATTTACTGAGTACCTACTTTGGCCAGGTGCTCTACTAGGTATTCATAATCTCTAAATCATATGACAATCCTATTCAGTAGATCTAATTATCCCAATTTATAGATGAGGAAACTTAAGTTCTAACAGTTCAAGTGTCTTGTCCAAGATAACCTAATAAATAAGTTTCAGAGATGGGCTTGAACTCAGATCTTTCTGGTTCCAAAGCCTGTGTCCTTTTTTCATTAGGAATTCTTTCACAGAAAGATGGTGTGGAACTAGTGGAATAGTGGACTAAGTGATTGTTCATTGTCTTCAAAACTTTTACCTATAAAATTCATCACCATGTCATTTCACATTCTATTATCTTAAGATAACATATCTTGCAACAAGTTAATCTGATGGGATTTTTAAAAAGTTACTTACAGATTCTAAAAACCCAGAAGGACATAAATAATAAATTGAGGAGAGGGTCTGGTTTTCCAACTGGATTTGTTTTTCTAGTAAAGAATTTTCTAGACTTCTTATCAGTCCTCTCTTATCATTTTATAGATTCAACTGTGAACCATCTCCAGAGGCTCTCAATCCTTCAGCTAAACAAAATCAAACTATAGTCCAGTATGGAAAAATCTCAAGGAGCACAAGAGAAGAGGGAAATAACAGACAGGAGATCAGGATGGGGAGGAGGTCTGGGGAGGTACACTGGACAGGGGCCCAGGGAAGCATCAGTGCAGACCTGGCCATGGCATGTTTGTGATAGATTTAGTACTTCACTAAATAACACTTCACATAAGCAAGGTCTTTGTTAGAGTACTGTGTT